CCTGAGAACCTTTGGGTGTGTTGAAGGCACATAATATTTCATCGAAGTCATTAGGGTCCGACAATTATTTATATTAAATAATAAGAAAATTTAAAGATAATAAAACTAAAGAGTGCGCGATAAAAGAATTGCTAATATGAAGATTACATAATTATATTGTAGATATTATAATAGTAGAACTGCAGTGAGAATTCTGGTGTGGAAAAAATGAAGTGAAAATGAGGTATTTATATGAACAAAAATCCTTTTAAAAAATATAAATAAATAAATAAAGTCTAAAATATGACCGTTGGCCAAAGGTCATATTTAGAGCATGTTTGGCTAAGTTTAAAATCCAATTAAAATTGAAGATATAGCTGTTATTGAGTCTCACTCGTGTAATAAAAGTCAACAATAACAGCTAGTTTTTCAATTTTAATATTTACGGAACACGCCCTTAGACAAAAAAAAGGTGGCCATTAGTGGCCCAATGGTCACATTTTGGCATCCACGAGCCGAACTGTCTTGTGGGCTAGGTTCATGAGCTTTTACTTGAGTTGACTCACGGGCCGACTCATGGACTACCTCGTGGAGTTCGATTGGTGAAATCTTTTGTGTGATTTGTTTGACCCACAACTCGTCCCTATACTAGTTCGAACGACCAATGAATCGAGTCCAGACAATCAAGTTTACGAGCAACTCGACCTATTTGTCACCCTTAAATTGACATAATATCAGCTTATTTTTCCTTTCACTTTAAATTCGAATTCTTCCTTTTGGAACTCGACTATTAACACTTTCTTTCTAAATTGACTATTGATCTAAACGAACGAGCTGAATTTTAAATTTTTATAAACACTTGATATAAATAAATACAAATTGCCAACAAATACACAAATAGGAGCTCGATTAGGTAGAATATCATATCAATCTTAATCTTCGTCCACTTTGAATGTGATTAATTAATTAGGAGAAGAAACCCTGACTTTTGCTTATATTTAATTAATTATCTGCCACGAGGCAGGAGAAAACCTGGACTCTTGTAATTATTACCAATGTTTCGAACCGGAAATTGACCCAAAAAAGGTAAAAGAAATGTCAAAAGATTCTACCGAAGTCGAATTGGATGCAATAAATAAATAAATTGTTAAATAAATATACAAGCAATAAAATACTACGAAATATAATAATTCAAAGTAAATCTATCTTTCTTAATTAGATTCATTATCCTACAATTAGTGTCCATACTTCAAAAATTAAAAATCAATATTTTAAAATAGTTTGCTTTGTTAAACTTGAATAGTTTAAATCTGTAGAAAATAAATTAATAATCAAGTACAATTTAAATTAAATTTGAAAATTAAATAAATGAAAAGATGAATGTGGACGTTACAATTTAGTTGAGATTCAAAATCAAATTAGTCAGTTAGATGTACATTTGGAAAAATTAAATAAATGAAAAGATGAGCATTTTAATATATA